CTCTTGGCCTCAGGCCCACGTAGTTGCCCGTCGGCGAACTTTCACCACTCTGACCACTCTGGCTCTCCCGTGCCAGCCCCTTTAGGGCTGCCAGGTCTGCTACCACTTTTTCAGGCCAAACACAAACAAGTCGGCGACGGTTGCCCATACAACCGCCCCTATGCAATTATTAATAGTGGCATTGTGAACCTACTATCCTACCAATTTGTATGCACTTATACTCTAGACTCTCCTAAGGTTCACAATCAATTTTCTATCCCATTTTAACCTAGTCCACTCTTCTACGTTCTCAAGCAATAGCCGAAACATTTCAAGCCATACCTTTGCCCCGTATGGTCGGCCCCAGGTAAGCATGGCTATCCCATTACGTTACCCATGACACATCTATGGCCATACGGTAGCCGTCCCTGCAGAAGTTCACACATAAGATTATCCGTTAATTGTGGATAGTTCATGACACCAACTTGTACTGCGTACAGTCCAAGCAATACCATGTCCACCCTCTTTCCCCTTGGTTGCAAGCCATCGAAGGTAGTACTAGCATAACCATTAGGTTATCCTGGTAACTTCTTGCCTGGTTCACAACAACCTCTAATAAACTGCCGGATCCTACAAACAAGCGAATCATCGGGTAGAACTTACTTTCCTGGAGCGGTAGCTCTACCATAGCTCTATTTCCAAGGTTTAACGATCAGTTAGTCTTTCTACCTTTTAATTTCCTAGACTATCTTCTCATTTGGCTCAAGGCAGCTCCCTAGTGAAGGGTATACCTTTGCCAATGCAAGATTCAATTCCTAGAGATCCTAATATGAAATATGATCTGGGCCATAAACCCTCGATGGAGCTCTTTCCCGCAATCACCAAACAACGAGTCACCCTCGGTGTTGGTTGGTACAAAGCCAAGCTTCCTCGAGACTAAAGGTCGAATCCCACGCCCGGAATACCCTTAGCGCGTGTATCCTAACCAATAGCCCAATGTGAATAGGACTAGATAACTCGTCAAGATCCTAGACCTTATCAAGCTATCTGCCTGACTTCAACTACGAGCCCATAGTCAGTCCTTCCGTGGTCCGACCGGATGCTCTGCCACCGCACTGTTTAGTCAAGCCTTCGCTTGTCATTCTGGTCTCGTGTAATATGGACCGAGGCCGCCTCGGTCCTCTACCAAGGTCCTGCGCATCCATGGTACAACTTATGTCGGGTATGTATTAGGTTTCAGCCAATACGCCCTTGCTGCCCATCTCTAGACTTGCCGCCATGCTCACCCCGATACTCTATCGAGCTGCAGCATGATTGCCACTAACACCAACACTTCACCGCGGCATTGTCGAGGAGTCACCGAACCATATCGGGCCCTCTTGAGACGCGGCACGATGTCTGTCGACCCGTAACACGGAACTATACTGCTGCGACACGATCTCTTATCGTGTCGTGATACGGTATCTTTGTGTGGCACGGCTCGCTGTCGTATAGTAACGTGACACATCCCATACCATGACACGCTACCTTATGCTAGTTATCTCTCGAGGCGCCATCGAGGCATCCTTGAGGCCATACGGATGTACTACTTAAACTTCACCATAGTCTGGATCGAGACTCTCATCGAGGCACCCCGAGGCCATGCCTATGTTCTCTCTCGCTACCAGGCAAGTGCTACCATTACCAGACTGGGTGCCTACCGATACGTGACCCGATCCCTCATCATTCCCGTACCGCTGCCCCTCGCCCTCCACAAGACCCTTCTTGTGCTCGACCGTAGTCGAGTGGAACTCGGCCACTGCCCTACACTTGTCGAGCCTCACATCCGGACCCCTTATCCGGATCGAGTTACATCGGCCACTACCTAGCCTATAACCCATACTACTAAAACACTCTACGGATCGCGCCTTACCTCTATCGTGAACCTTCTCTACCGCGGGGGTGGGGTGCTGAGTTCCTTCTCAAGCTCCTCCGTTTTTCTCTTCCTAAGCATTTTTCTTTGGCTCTGGAAGGAGAGAATGATTTTGGTGTGTAAAATATGAGCTCCCTAGCTCCCTATTTATACCCCACGAAAATACCCCCTAAAGAATATTCACTTTCTTTATTTTTCTCCACCTCCTTACTACACGGGTCAAGCCCACTAGCCTCCACGTTTTTCCTTCCTCACCAAGGAAAAACTAGGGTTTTCTTCCCCTTTCCCACGTCACTAGAACCTCCAAGCCCGACCATAAGGCCCGTTAAGCTGTTACCTAGTCTGACAGGGTTTCTGCCGCAATTAAGCTGGCCTATACTCCTAAGTTTTCTACCGAATCTCCTACCGCAGGTTCG